AGTAACACAGCGTGCCGAGTTCCGCCCATCAAATGGTTCCTCGATGTATATTTTAAAATGTTCCGTGGAATAGGGCAAAATTTTTCTGAAAAAATGATAAAGTTGCAAGAATGGCAAAAAAGAAAATAAAGTTCAGGGACCAGCGTGGATTCAAATCTACCGGAATGATTGCCTGAATTATAAAATCTAATATATCGACGTGTATGAGAAACCAAGCGCATCAGTCAATTGGCGATGAAACATTGGTCAAAACAACTGCTGAAGCACCAATTGCGTGAGTGAGGAGCCATGAGACGAATTTACATCTGCCCCAGCATTCCCACGTGTTTTGTACTTTCTTTGGTTAAGAAGATATGTTAAAACTAAATGGAATGGCTGTAAAATTACTTTTTCCGAAAAACCAAGAGAAAATGTATGGAAGTAACGAAACCTGTCAAACACTCGTGCCCTACTTATCGATATTGCCTTCGTCGCAAAATCGAAATTGCGGTAGTACGCAAAAAACGCAATCAGCAATTCGCCAACAGTATCCATGTTAATCTCTCGTGCTAAAATAAGCGCCTTTTTTAGAAAAAAAAAAAAAAAAAATCCAACAAACACAAGAGAATTACAATATTTTTTACGCGTTAGAAATTTAACTGATGAAGCGGCACCGCTTTATTGCAATACAGAAGCACACATACATGCTTTTACAAGAAAAACATATAAGATATTGTAAAAATTCAAGTCGTTTCGGCAAACTGAGTTCATATGCCTAAATGACACATCTCAAGTAAATCGGCCATAACAACAACATTTTGTATTTAAAGGGATTATCAAGAATACCAAAATCTCTCGTGCTATCAGTGTGGGTATTCCCTGTTAGTGGTGTTACTAGAATGCTCTCAGACGTCGAGCGCAGCTATACCAGGCATTTCGATTCTATACTGCATGTCTACAGTCAGTACCCACCGCTTTTTCGATGTATATGCGCTAAAAGGTATTACATTTGTTAATTTAAATTACAAAAATACGTTTTGATTTTCGATTGCAAAACACGGCTAATATTTACAGCATTTATCATGCAAACAAACTACCTTTGTCAGCTCTACTGCTTCTTTTCACTATTTTTTTTGCCCGAAAACGCACTAGAAATACATACCTGGCAACGGATGTGGCAACTCCCGGAACAGTTCTAAACTTTCCACGCTACGACGAGCACTAAATGTATCCGGATACAAATGCTGAAGATTTGGCAGAACTGGAGGCATCGTTCCACATTGCAGGAAGTGCAATACCATTAGAATCAGTGAATAGCTAAAACACAATAGCATATGAAGCAAAAAAAAAAGAAAAAATATGGGCTTCAGGAAATGCTGCGTTGCGTTCTGCACTGATGACTCCCACCTCAATCCACACCGTATACTGCCTGTGTTTGCAGCTTAGGGATGAAACACAGACAGCCAGTTTCACATTTAGCTCCCATACATGTCCTCCTTACATCTTCTTAAATTTTTATAATACACATATGCGCTTCACAATCTATTTCATTCCTGATCTCACCACAATCCATTCATTCCCGAACAAAAACCATTTATACTAATCCACCAGAAGGGGAAGCAAACAGGCCAGAGTTCACCGAACTGTCCTATGAGTAAATCTGCTTTCAAAAGGAACGCTGGAGAGAAGGAATTATCCGAAAACTTTTTTAGAAAATGACGGGAACTGGCAAAATGTTGTTACTGATCTGCACATTCAAAACATTCAATTTCTCAACGGCAACTGCATTAAAAAAAAAGCTCCTGAATTTAAAGATCTGGCGAAATTTGCGTGAAATTTATCTGGAAAAAACGATTTCAATGTTAAGACACAAAAATGTCACAACGGCAAAAATAGCAAAATTTCCAATATCACTGTTATGTAGCAATAAGCCACAAGTTCGATTAATTTGGATTGGCTTGCAGATTCGTCGCGTGTGCAGATTCATTGCATACCGTCAGGCTTTCCGCTTCACTCTTTAGCACTGCCCGTTGAATAATGCAGTTTTTTTTTTTGCATAAAAAGAATACAAATTGTAACAAACCTATTTAGCGTCCCAAGCAATGCATTATTGATATTGGCAGTGATCGCCCAGTGCTTCACCAAAAGGCATAGTGCTGGGAAACGATCATCGATCCTAAAGTTCACGAAAATAATAATGAACTAGATATTCTTTAAGGGAAGGGGGAAGGGGAAGTAAATGTGGGGAACACCGGTGAGCAAAAAATAGCTAGTTTTAAGAGTTTGCTGGCTTAATCCGATGAATTGTCAAGAAATAGCACAGCGGGCTCCAATAAGTATTGCAGTCTCGAGCAACACAGGACAAGGAGCAATACCCTAGCGACAATGAAGGAATGCTAGAATAACAGCCGTCAAAAGTTAGGGAGGAAATTTCGCACCCGTGCATGAAATCATACATAAAAGTGCCAAATTCAGAACTGAGAAACAAAGAAAACACAAAATAATAACCAAAAATATCATACCGCATCTAAAGTTAAATAAAAACAGGTGCAAATATAATAAGCTTTCACCGTTAAGTTGCATAATTTCTCCCTCAAAAGCTTTAAAAAAAAGGAAAAACTAAAAATTCAAATTTGCACTTATAAAAATTTTAATTCGAAACCTCGAATAATAGTGAATCAAATGAGAATTGTATATGCCGGACACGTTATTGCAATTG